TAGGTTAGAATATATTTGTAAGCCTATGCGTATTGGGTAGCTAGTCTCGTTGCTAATGTCTTTGTTTTAATAAACATCGCGCCGGCAGACAACGTAGAGAAACTTACGAATATATTTGCAGTGTTTAATTTTTGTCTTGGTTATTATTGTGCCGCATCCTTTCAAGGTGCTTTATTTTAGCACCGGGACACATTGGGCCACCACAATTCTGCCTTGATAAATTTTTTACATAGATATAGATATTTCTGAATCTTGTTTTGGCCAGGCCAGAGGAAAATTTAAGAAATATTGGTATCGATCTCTCAATAAAAAAATTATACTCTCTAAAAAAAAAAATACTTATTCAATAAACGTAAAAAAATCAATAAGTTAAAAAAATCAGAATTGTTTTTATAATAAAATACAGAGTGTTTAAAATCTTTTACAAGTAAGATCAGTCTTAGACTTTGTGTAATTAAATCATATTATTATTTAAAATCTTGAGTCGTTTTTTGTAAGCAAGTATATAGACTATATTACATATAGTGTAAATCGTATACGTAGTGCGTTTAATACGGAAATCAACACTGGATTACTTAAAATATTATTGTATCACACAGGACGTAAGGTAAGTACAATTTAACCTATGCTTTCGAACTTCCAACAATCTATTGCGTGATGAACCATTAATAATTAATGAGAGAAATAATTAATGAGAAGATTAATTTAAATAAAATTGAAAACAATTAAATCTACATTAAAATTACAAAAAATTATAATAAATAATGATAACAATAATTTATTAAGTACTGCCAATTTCTTTTTATAATCTACTAAGCACCCCTAATTTCTTTTTATATTTAACCTACGCTTTCTCATTTTTTATATCTCTATTTTTCTACTCTTTTTCTATTCTTTCTTTTTATTTTTGGTTTATTACAGGTAACAGACACAAAAAAAAAACACATCATAGTAAAACCAATACCTTCTCAGCTTCGCATCGAATCTAAAAATCATATATTAATTAAAAATAAAGTTAAATAAATTTAATGTTCAAAATCTTTATTTATATTATTACAATAAATTTCTAACAATCGTGGAACGTATACGTTTATTGAACTTATACATTCATCGAATAATAAAATGTTTAGCGTATACCTAATAAAATTATAGAAAACGTTCGTGACGGCTAACCATGATACGCGATAATATACAGGGTGATTTTTTTATCATAACCCACTCAATTATTCACAGAATAAATATATTTAAACATTTTTTTTTTTTTGGTTATCTTTAGTTACACATTATTCTTGAATTATTAACTATTGAAAACTTTTTATGTTCATCCCTTATGCCTTGTAAGGGTGTCAACTTTGTTTTTTTAAATGGGAACACATATTTTGAATTTAATAAAATGTATGAGTTTTTAATTTAATAGTAAATGGCATTTGAATTTTTAACATAACTTTATTTGTTTATTAGATATAAACAATTAAAGTTTCAAATTTTTGAGTTAATATACATGTATAATACACAAGGTATTACAAATACAGGTAGCCAATTGGATTTTTATGACATTGCAGTCATAGTCACGGATTGTTTATTATCAATTATGACTATCAATAGATATACTTTTTGTATTGTCAGTTAGTGTATTTATAAACTCACAACAATATGCCTTACTACCATTGATAATAACAATTCTGTGTACCTGCGAATATTGATGTCATAAAAAATCAATTAGCTACCTGTATTTGTAATACCTTGTGTATTATACATGTATATTAACTCAAAAATTTGAAACTTTAAATGTTTATATCTAATAAACAAATAAAGTTATACTAAAAATTCAAATGCCATTTACTATTAAATTAAAAACTCAAACATTTTATTAAATTCAAAATATGTGTTCCCATTTAAAAAAACAAAGTTGATACCCTTACAAGGCATAAGGGATGAACATAAAAAGTTTTAAATAGTTAATAATTCAAGAATAATGTGTAACTAAAGATAACCAAAAAAAAAAATGTTTAAATATATTTATTCTGTGAATAATTGAGTGGGTTATGATAAAAAAAATCACCCTGTATTATTTTTTAGATGCTCCGTAAAGAAGCCTTAATTAAACTAGGGAAAAATTAAATAAAAATTACTCTAAGTGACCATAGCAAACAAAATCCAAGACCTATAAATAAAATAATTAAAGTTGTATCTAACATTAAAAAAAAAACATCTTAGTAAAATTAATATCTTCTCAGCTTAGCATCAAAGATGAAAAAGAGAAGGGGTATGTTTTTGTCATATTACATTATATAAATTTTTTATATTTTAGACAATGATGTTTTTACTTTACGTAAAAAAAAATATAAAAGTATTACCTATATCTTTATAATGTTTGTAAACAGGGAGTAGAATAGAATAAAAAAAATTTCTAGACGTCGGAATCATTTAGGATTTCTGGGTATTATTTTGTAAATTCCATTAATTGTTTAACTACTCATACAGGTATTCCTTAAATCCTTTAAAATTTAATATTTTTTTGATACATATTTTACATTTTAAATATTAGCCATAAGTGATGATTTATAGTATCAAATATTTTAATAAATTATATATTTTAATATTATATAAATAAATGGTTAATTACATAAATTATAGCTATGAATGTTTATCACTGAAAATAACAATACATAATTTATAATACAATGAAAATGATAATTATTAATTTATTTTAGCAATAAAGTTTATGTTTTAGTATTTTAATTGTATTCTTCATTACTACTTTCGTGACAAATAATGCTTCTCGCTACTTCAAGGTATTTCATTTGTTTTTCTTTTATATTTTTTCGTACTAAAGCTCTACAAGCTTCTGGTACAATAAAATTAAATATTAATTCTGATTCAAGTTCTTTGCGGCTGTAAAAATAATAAATTATTTTTATTTAAAATTAAATAATTATTTGTATGTATAAAGTGGAGTCAAACTTTTTACTTGGTATTCTATACATTTAAGGGTGGTTGAACGTTTTGATATATAGTTTGTATATCTAAATTTTATATAAAACCTTAAAAATCGAATATTATTTAATAATTGCGATAGTAACTAATGGTTTAACTGTATCGCCGATGTTTATACTGATATAAATCACGATTTTGATAATTGATAGGGACCAGTTATCAGACATATTTAGAAATTTATATTACAATAAATGTTAAACATTAACTTGAAAATATAGATTAAGGTAACTTGGGAAGTAAATGGGGACATACGAAGAATTCAGTTATTCTCAAAATCAATCACACAATAGCAAAACATCTTCTTGATAAACGAAAAAACGGCTTATGGTAATTTTGTTACTTACACATGCGCAAACGTTAATTTAGATGCGTTTAGAAATTTATAATTAGCATGTTTTTATATAACTTTTGAACATAAAAAATGTAGGTAATAGTAACTAACAAAAATAAAATAGAGTAAGAATTGATCACTTGTGGCTTATATTATTTAAAATAAAATGCATATTAGAATATTAATTTAAAATTAAAGAATATTAAAAATACAAAAAGCCACAAAAAATACTAATAAATCGCGTATATGTATTTCAGGAACAATGTTACCATTATCAACGCTTAACACATACTAAACATATACATACACGACTATGTGTATTTATTTTGCGTGTCTAGTGCTAATCGAGTGGTTTATGATAACGCGATTACTTTGTATATATAAATTATTTTTTATTTTTTTGGAGAATAATAAAATAAACAAATACTTTGGGTCATAAAAGTTGTCATTATGGGGAATAGTTTTTGACACAACTTTTTTGACATAACGAACACTTTGTTCTTCTACACTGCGTTCTATGGCATTTTCGACAAAACGATCAAATGCTAATTCAGCAGTTTCTTGACGTATTTTAACCATCTAAAAATTTTAATATGTTGGTATGCCTTAATTTTGTTTTTTTTAATTAAATATGATTTTAGCATAACTGACTTGTTTGTACATTTCATCATGTTCTAGACGTATTTTTTCTTCTATTTGTCTCCTCTTTTTTTCTGCTGCTTCAACCATACATCTAACTCTTTCTGCGTGTTTCATTAACATTTTGTTCTTTTTTTCTTCGTTTATTCTAAATGTTTCATTAGAAAGAGACATAATAAAATGATTTATCAGCTTACTAGTAAATCCTAATTTTCCATCATTTATAATTTCACGTTTTTTATACTAAAAATTATTATACATCCATTATGTTGTTAAATGTTTAATTTTTATTAATCTTTTATGTATTTTAATAATATGTTTACTTTTATTTTATTAAAAATAATTACCTCTTTGGTTTTTATAGGTCGATCTGGAGTCTCTAAATTCAATACAGTTTTTAACATTTCATCAAATTTATGTCTTGCCATAAACATCTATTAAGATATTTTTCTTAATTTTTATATGAAAAATTGAAAATAATATTATTTTTATATTTACTCTATAAATAAAATTTTACCATAGCATGATATGCTCTTCCTCGTATTAATTTTTGAAAAACATTAATGTGATGGTCTAATTCTGTAAACTTGCTTTCCACGGAAAATTTAACCAGCCCATTACTAACTTCATTAGAGTCATATTCAATCTTTTTAGAAATGTTTAAGTGTTTTTTATCTTCGTTGAGTCTTATTGCTGAATATTAAAAAATAATTAATTCCGAGATAAAAATTAATGAGTATACTAAATTTAATAAATTCTACCTTTAAGTTCTTCTTGTATAACCTTCATTTTATTGAAACATACATTTTCTTTACGCCTGTGAGAGCCATGACAGCGACTACTTCCTTCCAAAGTACAATGTATACACTTAAATATGTTTTGGCCATAGGGTTTCAGTTTTAAGAAACCTTTTATAAAATAGAAGGAATAATAATTAATATTATAGGTCGATTGTTTTAAATTTATAAATTAACTTTTATACGAAATTTTACCATCGTGAGGATTTTGTAAAGTATTACTTGGATTATATTTTCTGGAAATCAATTTATCAATGAATTTCGGTTGTTTTAAAGAATAGTTATGAGTGGGAAATTTATTTAGTTTAGGTATTATATTTTTACATCGTATTTTCTGCCAAGCAAGATTACGCAAATCTGTAAAAAAAGAAAAGAAATATATATGTTCTATATTATTATTTTAGTTAGTTATTATATTTAAATGGAATCATACTTATTTAAGACGCTAGCATATAAGAAAATTATCTAACTAAGAAAATGATAAAACCATAACAACTTTTTAACCAATGTTTTGAACAATATTAATATTGAAAATTAAGGATGGAGACAAAGCGAGGGACTGTTTATTTTTATCTTTAAGTATTTTTAAACTATTCTTCTCCTCCCACAATAATATAAAAATACTTATTTTTTTTAAATAACGGTTTTAAAGTTTTTATTGACCAGTCATTTTCATAGACTATTTTATTTAGTTAAACTCTTATGTTTTAGTTTAAAAAATAAAATTGATAAAACTTTGAGGGGGATAAAAAAATAACAGTAACAGTGATTTATGTGAATTAATGCTTGAATAGCAATTGCAAGCTGTTAGTTGGAAAAAATAATAACCGTTAATGTTTTTTTGTGTTTTTCACACGATGTAATCCTTAAGGTATTAATACTTTCTATTAGAGGTGGCGATTACACGTGTAATGAACTACACGGGTACCCGTGTTTTTACCTATGATACTGAATGTCAGAATCAGATATATTACAGTTTACTTCATCACTGAACAGAAATTCAAGAGCACCATGATGTTTAGTTACAGGTATTTTAATTTGCACATTGCAATTAAATTCAGCCATTTCTTTTATCAAATTTTTAACCCGTGTTCGAATTTCCTCTCTTGCATCAACTGTTTCGTGCTCCAAGTCCTTGAACCTTGCGTCGAGAAAAGACGCTATTTGTCTAGCAGATACGACACTAGAAGGAGTCCACAGTAATTTAAAAAAGTCTGAAAGTTCTCTTATTACAGTGGTTTTAAAATATTCAGCTATTTCGTCATCACTTATATTGTGCTTTAAATGCTTTTTTATAACTGCGTTTGGAAGCGGCCTCACCATTGAACTAGAACAATATTTTTCCCCGCAAAACACAGTGGTCATAATTTGTAGAGGCTTAAGCAATTTTATTAACGTTTCTACATTTGATCTACCAGCACAACTAAACACTTTGTTTGAATTATCATCACAAAAAGTTTTATTATATTGGCGTTTGCCGTATTGCCATACCCAACTTTTAGATCGATAACTCATTTTTCAAAGAAAAAATATTTAATATGTATAATACAAATGTCAAGATCTACACTTCACGTGACGCGTAGTTACAGTGAACATAGTAATAATAAGGTCCAGTATGGACTATAGAACAATTTTTAAATCGCCTAAAATATTTAGATAAAAAGCATACATAGGTAGTAAGTACGTAAATGTAATGTAATAAAATTGGTGATAAGATAGCTTTGCGAATATTTATGTTTGAATATTACAGTCTAATGCATACTTATAGTTTATAGTGTTTATACCTATATAATATTATACGATAAACTATGAATGCATCTTACTAATTTTTAAGCTTAATTAATAGCTATAAAAATTAATTATTCTTAAAAAAAAAATATGATTATTAAGATAATTAACTTGTTGTGCTATTAAATCTTCTAAAGAGTTAGGAAAAGTTAGCAAAAATATATTTATATTTAAAGTATATTTTAATTCTGAATTAATTTACAATGTATTCACGGGTATTAAATACACGGACTTTAATATATTTTTTGCTTGTATAACCAGGTTCCATGTGTCTGTGTATTCTAATACCCGTTCACAATCGCGACCTCTACTTTCTATGTATAATATAATGTTAGCATATAACATAACGTTATAATTTGTACCTGTATGTCACATATAATGAATTTACAAGATCACCAAAACAGAGTTCCCTTCTTTAAAACACCAGTTAACTTGGCGATAAAATCTGATTATTTAATTATCCTACTTTCTAATTACCGTCCTATGATTATAAAAATCCTATTTTCCTATTAAAATCAGTACTTTCCGTAATTTAAAAATATACAAAATCTTAGACACTTTTCTCAAAATTATCAATCTCTGATAGTGGTATTTTTAAATAATTTGGACTTTGACTATACGACACAGCGTGAAACATATACGCAGTGCATTTCATACACGGAATCAACATTTGGTTACTTAAAATGTTATTACATGACATAGACTATGAGATAAGTGCACGATGAATACACGCTTTTAAACCTCAATCAATGTTTAATAAACCACTAATTTATTAATTGGGTTAGCTTAGCCTTTGAAAAAATTCTTTCACATGGTACAGATGTATCAAGATAACACAATATCTTTATTGCCAGCAATTTTAGGTAATTACATAATTATGCTCACTCCACTATTTAAATGAGTCATTATTTATCTGTAGTATAGGATCTTCTAAATAACGTTATATTTCGATGATTGCTCGAGATGTAGATTTTTTAGTCGGCACTATTTTCACTACACTACGATTCTTATCATCCTAATTGACTATGTTTTGGATAATTGTGAGTCTTGTATAATAGTTGATTGATTTTGTTCCCTTATTTTATAATTTGCTTTTCATTTGCAGTACTAACAATTCGTGATAAATTTCACAGTTTTTATGACGCTAAGAATTAAAGAATCGTGCAAAAATGGAATATTTTTTTAATGGCGTTAAAAAATTTAAAATTACCAAAGTACTTTAGTTTTATCCGTACTTTATCAAAATATAATAAAATAATAATTTTTGAACAAATCAAAATTCAGTCAGTCATTTTTACTATCATACTTTTTGTTTTCATGTCACAAAAAAAATCTAATATAATCTATGTATATATTAAATTTTTATTAAATTATATTGACATTTTTTGCATCAGTTGCTTATGTTTGAAAGTTGTATTTACTATTAACCTTTTATCCAGCTTGAGCTAACAAATTTCAGCATTAAGGCTTCGATAATTCATTTTTTAATTTTCATATACAGTATTATTTATTAAATCTCCAAACCCCTTTTACCTTACAGTTTAAAAAAATCATAATATTTCTTTTTCTATCATCTGTATAAAAACGAATTCTATATTTTTATGGATTAGTGAACTTAATAATCCATAATATTTAATTTATATAATTAAGGTCTTACAATTCAATACAAGCTATATAATATAGATTTTTTAATTAAGAATTTGGGTGTAAATTATTCAAAATAAAAAAACTGATAACATTTTTAGTATTATAAGAGTTAATGAGCTGATAACCTTAGTGTCTTATGTTTTTGGAGAACATACTGGATGGGTTTTACTTATAGAACAATAATGCTAGTCAATTATAAACTATATATTTATTTTAATTGTCATTTAACATATAAAACAGTTAAATTATTGTTATTAAGAATTTTATACAATGATAATATTTTTTTAGAAAATAACAGTATTTGTTATTTTGAAAGTAGCAATAACAATTAGTATCAGATATAAAATTTCATTACAAGATGCTATCCTTCTTCTTAGAAGAAAGGATAGAACTTAATTTTTTGTGTTTATGAAAGAATCAACAATATTAATAACTTTTGAAGAGAGAAAAAAAATTTATGTTATTTTATACTTTGCGATTTTGCGTAAGACATGGTTAGCGAATCACTTTCGACAGTCCTGGTCATATTAATTTTTTGTTGGGTGCTGATATATATACACAGATACAGGATTCATTATCTCATACACATCGTGCTCTTAAGTTTTCATCAGCATACGAAACTAGACTTGGATCGATCATAATAGGATAACAATCAAATAAAAAAGTTAGCAGTTTCTTTATGTTTAATTGTTACGTCATTAAATACTTTGCTACTTAATACATTTTAGAAAATACAAGAATGAGCGACCACCAACAAGTTGTTTACTTACAATAAAATTTGTTAAAAATATATAACAGTGGCGGCACTGTTACTAAGGACATTGTGATCACTGTTGTAATTTGTATTATCATATAGATTTAAGGTGTAAAATCTATGGTAACAATTTTAATAATTAATAATTATTTTTATTTTATATAATTTAAAGAGTATATAGTAATAAGTTTTAAATTATCGATTCTTTATTGTTTATGTGTGTATTTGTTATACAATTTAATATTAATAAACCACTTTATTGTAGAATCGATCAACTTATTATTGAACAAAATTACAAATATTTTCCTCGACCAACAACCCGAGACCCTCAAACTGGACGATTTTAAGTTTCTTCACTTAGTTTCGGTTTGACCCGACATTGTTAAATAGTTCACGTGACATGGACGTTTCTCGATTTTATGAAATAAGTACCGTGAATTCATGTTTATTTATGAAAATCGTCACGTAAACAATAAAATATCATTTGCCACATATGCTATTGTGTAACACATCAGTGAAGGTATTAAAATGTGTGTAGTTTTTAGCTTCGATGCGAAGCTGATAAGGTATTGGTTTTACTATGATGTGTTTTTTTTTTTTTTTTTTTTTTTTTTT